TGTTTGTTTGTAATGAAGTCTCATGAAAAGGGTTCCTGAAAAGAAATGGGGAAGTGGGTTAGGTAGAAGGCAGAGAATGGAATTTTATAGGGTAATGTTCGGCTATGTTTTCTAATGCCCATTTGTTGGCTGTGATGGCTGCCCAGACCTGGTGGAATGGGACAAGACTGTTCCCAAAGGTGGGGCCAAGTTCCAGATTGATTCCGCTGTGATTCTTGACACTCCTGTCAAATCTGCTGCCCTCTGGAGAGGGTGCAGGGTTGGTCAAAGAGGCAGAAGACAGGTGTCTCGTGGAATAACTGAGTTTCTTTCTTTTCTGATACTCTGGCTGTCAGCCCATGGTGTAGGACAGCATCCTCTGCCTTTGTTGGGGCTGATATTTGTAGGGTTTTCTGTAGGGAGCCAGTTTTTAAATTCCCTGGTATTGTAGCATGGTGCTCAAGTCCTTGAGGGAATGGAGCAGTTCATCTCTCCTCTGGCTGAGGAGGTCCATTCCTTCAAAAGGAAGGTCTTCAATCGTGGCCTGTAGCTCACATGGTGTACCCGACACCTGGAGCCACAAGATGTGCCTCATTGCAAATAGCCTTGGCTATTGACCTCACGGCTGTATCAGAGGCATCCAAGGTCACCTCCAGTGATGTTCTTGTGGCCATCTGGCCCACTTTAATGATCTCCTTCATTTCATCCCTGCACTCCTGTTGGATTTTGGAAAGGAAGGAAGTGATCCTCTCCCAAATTATATTTGGTGAACAATGCCTGGTAGTTCACCACCTGAAGCTTCAGCAAGGCTGATGAACATACTTTGTATCCAAAAATGTCTACTTTCCTAGGGTCTTTGGCCTCAGGAATTCTTTAATGGACTTCAATTTTTCTTGTGCTGCAGAAATGACCAGGGACTCTGAGTTTGGGTGGGCATCAAAGTGCTCAAAAAACTCCATCGTACTTTACCTGAGGTCATTCCCCAATAGCAGCAGAGAAGCACCTCTGCTCAATGCTGGTGAGAAGGAATATGTTGGCAATGAGGAGGAGTGTCATCTCTCTTCCTCAAGAGGCAGAGCTCAGGTGTAGTGTGGAGCCAGTGTCGGTCACCTCATTGTTATTTGTAACTTCCTGGATGGGAAGGGATCAGTCTCTGTCCATGGTATCTCTAGAGGGGAGACAGACTCCTGCAAGGCATTTCTCAAGTCTTTGTTTGGCTCTTTTCTAGGTACTGGTATAAGGATCAGTGCCAGATCTCTCATTCCACCTAACTACTCAGTGGCTTTAACCTTGGAGGAGTGATAGGTCCAGTAGAGATAACACAAACCTTTCTTAGTTTTAGAGATATGTTTAGGCTCATAAATGTGAGTCAGTGTCCTGTTTATGACTGGGCATAGGTGCCAGGTTCAATGGCTGAAGTGCCAGTACAGGCTAGTATAGGCACCAGAGTCATCAGTGTCAGATCTGCTGATTCTAAGGTAGTTGGTGCTGAGGATGTTGGTGCTGAGCTCTTGGGCGCTGGGACCTTCACTGATGTTGAAGTAATCAATGTCAACTTCATTGGTGACAACTTTGTTGGTGTCCTCTGCCTTCTTTCCATCTAATCCCAGAATGTGATGTGTTCTCAAACTAGTGCAGGCCGATACTGGTTTATTTGGCCCCTCTCTGATTCTGTCACCTCTGGATACAAAGTGACCCATGTAGACTGATCTAGAAGATGTAGCTTGAGCCAAGATTCCCTTAACCTATAGATCCTGGAGAAATAGGACTTGCAATCAGAGCACCAGTCTGAGATGTCTCTCTCCCTAGGCAAAAGAGATATTGGCTTTGTACACCTTTGATGGGGATAAGTCTGTTGAAGGGTGGGAAGAATTTAAACCCTGTGAGGTGTTGTGGTTGGCACAAAGCACTTCACCCTAATGTCTGGGGAATATAGCTCTCACTGCATCGGGTGCCCCCCCTGCTGTTTGTTGCTCACTCTGCACCAGGTTCCAGACCAGGGACCCTATAAAAAGCAATCCAGGTCTGCTCGGTCCCCGTCCATGTTGCTGTTTCCCTTGGTTCCATCCTCTTTCTCTTGCCTGTCTCAGGGTTTACTACTGAAGCTTACACCAGTCCCAGTGGTTATTTCACCACCTTCTATCTTCTTGACAGATTCCTTACTCCTGGGCAGGATTCACTCCTATGACTTCCTTCTGGCCCTTGACAACCTCTCTCATCCCAGGAAGTGACTGCAGACTCCTTCCCCTGCAGCTGCTTTTTGCTCTCAGCTTCTTGGCTTTAGAGTGTTGGTCCAACCCTTCCCCAAACAGATTTCATTCTCAATTAACCCTGGCCTTCCTTCTCTCAGGTAACACCAGGTGACCTACTTGACCTCTCAGACCATCGTTAACCCTATCAACGTTGGTGTGAGACATACACCCCAGCACAGGGATCAGCAATCAAATTCTTATCTTCTTTCTTTCTTAATGAACACCCTATAGAAACAAGTATAAAGACAAGATTTCTTCACCAAGTTGGCCTGGGAAAATGGCTTAGAGTATCTAAAGAGAGAGTAGCAGATTGGACATTCCCTGCATTCCATCTCACCGACATTGGTTGTTAGCAGGAAGTGAGTTAGAGTCACAGCCACTCTACCTTTTATGTTGTGACGAAGTGGGAATGTTCTTGATGTGTTATTTGAATGCTGAGTGGGGAGTATTAACCTGGGAAGGTTGCAGGGGAGTTTTGCTGGGACTGCCTGCATTGGGGAAGGGAAGACACCTGAGCATGTAACATGAGAACCCAGGAAGGGGGTTGGAGGCCAGGTAACACCTCTGCCCAGGAAACTGGACAAAGGACACAAAGGCTGGGGGAGGAGCCAAAAAAAGGCCAGAAAGGAGGGGGCTGAAGGGAGTTTCAGTTTGGAGCTGGCTGGGAAATAAAGAGGGGCGCCCCGACCAACAGGGCTGTGGCCTCCCGGGGGTCCCCAGATGGACCTAACTAAAGGGGGTCCTGTTGTCTGTATCGGCAAGACCTGTTTTGGACTGTGTTCCTGTTGTCTAAATAAACCTTCTGTTTTACTGGCTGGCTGAGAGTCATGGTGAATCGCAGGAAGCCGGAGGTGCAGGGCCTTGTCTTCCCCACACTCCGTGACATATGTCCTCACAGGGGAGCATGAGGTGGCACAGGAACAGGGCCGGCTCCAGGCACCAGCTCAGCAAGCAGGTGCTTGGGGCGGCCAAGGGGAAGAGGCGGCACGTCGGGCTCTTCGGCGGCAATTCGGCGGCGGGTCCCTCGGTCCCTTTCAGAGGGAAGGACCTGCCGCCAAAGTGCCGCCGAAGAAGAAAGTGGTGCAGTGGAGCTACCGCCAAATTGCCGCCAATCACGATCGCAGCTTTTTTTTTTTCCCCGCCTCTTGGGGGGGCAAAAACCCGGGGGCGGGCCCGCACAGGAAGCATGTGTGGCCCCAATGGAAATGGAAATTAGCAGGGCTAAGATGGAGTTTGAAGAACAAATTGCCAATAACCAAACAAATAATTTAATTGTATCAAAAACAGGAAGCCTGCGAAAGGACTAGTAAATTTGCTGAACTATCAGGGACTAACAAGAGCAATAGGATATTATAGAAAAGTTACATGATTCATTTGCATCAGCTTTCAACAGTGAAGATGTTTAGGAGACATCTATCCCAAAGCTACTCTTTTTAGGTAATAAAAACCAGGTATTGTCAGAGAGTGAGGCGTCAAAGATAGTAGTAATGCTGGAACAAAATAGTAAATTAAAGAACAACTAAGTCACCTGCACCTAATGATATACATCCAGGAGTCTGTTTCTGAAGTTTTTTTGTTGAAGAATTGCCACTTTTAGGTCTGTATCGGCAGAATGTTATAATTCCTTAGCCTGGACCAGTACACACAAGAGGTTCACTTCCACACAAATTTGATATCAGGAATTATAACATTCAAAAACCAGTAGGAAAACACTTCAATCTCCCTGGTCACTCAATAACAGACCTAAAAGTGGCAATTCTTCAACAACAAAAACTTCAAAAACAGACTCCAACGTGAAACTGCAGAACTAGAATTAATTTGCAAACTGGACACCATCAAATTAGGCCTGAATAAAGACTGGGAGAATTGTCTTGTTAGACTGACCTCACACTTGGTAAGGCAACTCCCATCTTTTCATGTATTTATACCTGCTCCTGTATTTTCCACTCCATGCATCTGATGAAGTGGGTTCTAGCCCACAAAAGCTTATACCCAAATAAATTTGTTAGTATCTAAGGTGCCACAAGGACTCCTCATTTGTTTTTGCTGATACAGACTAACATGGCTACCACTCTGAAACCTCCCAAAGTCTAGAAACTGGCTAAGACTGAAAACAAAGAATAATACCACAGTGCCCCCATGTTCCACACAAGGACAGGTGTTCTTTAATACACTTATTAATGATCTGGAAAAGGCGGTAACTGGTGAGGTGGCCAATTTGCAGATGATACAAAAATTATTTAGGATAGTCAAGACCTCAGAAGACTGTGATGAACTTTGCAGGGGCCTCATAAATCCAGGTGAAAGGGTAGCACAATGGGAGATGATATTCTTTGTACACAAATGCAAAATAATACATATTGTAAGAACTAAGTAGAACTGCTCATACACATTGCTGAATTCTAAATTAACTTTAACCTCTTAGAAAGAAGACCTGAACATCACAGCTCAATAAAAACCCTCTGCTCAATGTACAGCAGTGATAAGAAAAACAAAAATCATGTTAGGACACACAGAACCAGAAATAAAATAATATTGAAAATATTATACCACCATTCTGGAAGATGTCATTCTCATTGCTGTAAATTTACAGACCCCACAGACAATACATAACAGATTATCTGCAGGCATAATTCTATTGATTTCAATGGACCTTAGCTTGCAAAGAATTTGACCCCACAAATCTTATTTGTATTCATTAGTTTAAAATATTAGAGGGAATACAGTAATATAAAAAGACAACCCAAATAATCTGGAGAGTTATCTTACCATGGCAACTACTGGAGTTCTTTCTGTTGATGACAAGAAAACAGATAATTGCTTATGCTGTTTATGTGATTCTTCAGTGCTCCTTTTGCCCTAAGAATTCCAAAGTACACAGAAGTGTTAGTCTTTAAAAAACTCTATTTCAGAATCTGAAAATTCCTTTGTAGTTTTAATTGACATCAGTTCTGTTGGCATTAGAATCAATCCATTCAGTGTTTACAAATACATATTGCCTCCTCCCAGCCAAGTTCCCCATTACAATATAAACCTCTTGAAACCTAAACAAATACATGATATTAAGGTACTGTTAAGACTATGAGGTTCAGTGCTCCAAACTCAGCAAACAAAAAGCTAAGATGATGACAGCCTGGCCCTATTGCTCATCCTTTATATTTTATAGCAAATACTTAACAATATAAACATCAAAATATAGATGTAATCATCTAAAAAGAGAAACAGGAATAAAAAATAGTGTAATGCAGCAAAGCTAAATTTTTACTATGAGCACTTTAACTTTTAAAGTTCCTGGTTTTTGAGTATTTAAATTTATAAACTTATTGTTATATTAACAATATGAAGAGTAATTTATTTGGTTTTCCTAAAAGGAAAAAAGAAAAGTTAAAAGGGGGCCTTAAGGGTTCAAAGAACCTTTATTTATTTATTTCAACTCACGTTGTGGTCTATCAGCAATCTTTATGCACACATACAATAAAAATATTTTAAAACATTTACATGAATAATAAGCTAAATTAACCTAACATCAAAAATATGTTTGATTTCAGATTGCTATGCATTAAGCTGTTAGGACCTGATTCAGGGAAGCACACAGGCACATGCTTAATTCCCACTGACTTCAAACGGCACATGTATTATTGTAATGTGGGGCTCCATAAGTACAGGAGCTTAATGGTGACATCAATACGACTTAAACACATGCTTAAGCAGGGTCTTAATGCATGCACCTTAGCTGTTCTAATTACAGAACTAAAAAAGCCTACATTATAACAACACTTGTGGAGCTCGTAATGTCCATTTCCACAAGAACATGGTTTGTAACATGTAACACTTATAACCGTGGCATGCATGGGTGCTTATAAACATCACAAGAGTTCCAGCACAAAAGTAGAACCACCACAGGAGCAGGAAAGAAAAGATTGAGCAAATAGACTGTTTCCTGAGCCTGCAAACTTGTACTTATAAAATGTACCCAGGGCTACTACAGTAGGGATTACAATGAGAGCATAAAAGGATAAAGGGTACTTTTCAAGATACTGACAGCATCTTTACTCACAGCTACAGGCTTACATTTGTTGTGGGGAAGGTGGGGACAGGTTCAGGACCATGCAGTTTCCTCACCTGCACTCTTCTACTCTCTACCCTATATCCATTCTCTCTCCTCTAGTCCAATGACCCATACACACACAAAGCCCACTCACCCCAGGTTGGGAATCTATTATATAAATTATGCTCCCCACTGCTTTTGTGACACCATTTAAGCTCTGCACTTCTTACTCAGTGGAAACCTTTATGTGCTGCCAACTTGGTGTATTTAAAAGCTTTATGCACAAAAAATTAAATGCAGGAAATGGAAGAACAGGAACAGAGGAAACAATAATCATGAGCTACATTACTCCAACTAGAATAATAATTTTTTGACTACTGTAACAACTTTTGTGGCCAACACTGAAAGCTATGGCCTTGAGAACCGATGTAGCATTTTGAAATGTTAACTGCAATTTTTGTTCTTTTTCAATCACCATAGTTCATTTATTATTTAATGCAGTGAGTTTTTAAGTATATTTTATATAGGGGTTTACATAGCTAAAGGTATCAATATTTTGTTATTCATCTCTCTTAATCAATCAGTACATGAATGTGGAAAACACTAGCTATTTTTGAGAATGTCTTTTGTTAAAGGTGTAGTAATTGGGGGGCGGGGGGTTAAATTTTGTGTTCCATTAGGTTTTAGTAGCCACTTTTAAAACTGAATAGAGGTGCCATGAAACACTGCTAACCACTGATTTTGGTGCACAGACCTGGCTATATCCCCAAGAAACCATAGTTTGCTACCCCCACCTCTATGAACAGACTGTTAGATCTAAATTTTTCTATATTGAGTTCTAATGATAATGTATGTGAACTGTTCAGCTTGCTTGATTAAGACCTAGGGGAATTAAGTTATTTGCATTTGACAAATACTGGAAAAAACTGTCCTACATCTAACATATTTAGTAATATATATTCTCTTCCTTCCCATATGATAATAATTCTGTTAAAGTAAGCTGTCAGAGAGCAATAATGGGGTCCTTAGGTCAGTGATTCTCAAACTTTTGTACTGGTGACTCCTTTTACACAGCAAGCCTGTGTGTGCAACCCCTCCTATAAATTAAAAAAAAAACCTTATAAATTAAAAACACTTTTTTACATATTTAACACCATTATAAATGCTGGAGGGAAAGCAGGTTTTGGGGCGGAGGTTGACAGCTCACGACCCCCCACGTAATAATCTCGTGGCCCCCTGAGGGGTCCCAACCTGCAGTTTGAGAACCCCTGCCTTAGGTAGTTGTACTTGATATATTTGATAATACAGAACTTGAGAGACAGAGTCACTCCATGAGTGAAATAGGTTCATTACTTGATTCTGCATGAGAAGCACTTATTTTGTTGTTTATGTTTAGTTTGACTTTTAAGATTTTTATATCTTTACTTGAATGCTGAAATCTAGGAATACTGTACTTTTCCATTTATAAAAAAACTATTTTAGAACAAAAATTAAGAAAAAACACTTATTGTGCTCTTCATTGTAAAACAAGATTAGAAAATTACTGTAGCTCATCTTTTGTTTACTTGCCTCAGCCTAATTTTATCTGTGAATGCAGTATTGATTATTTATTGTCAGAAAGCAATGCTGAGTACTCTGTAATTCCAGAAACCTAACATAAATTTGCCAACAACTAAGCCATGTGAATTGTTACACTGTTTCATGATTGGTTAATCTAGCTGAAAGCAGTATAATCCTACTGGATGTTTTCTAAGGAGGCTAGAGTCCTCATCACTTTAACTGGCATACATTATATGTCTGTGAAAGATCACAGAGAACCAAACCATGGAGAACTGTATGAGAGCTGGGAGCTCTATTGAGAAAAAATATGTTTTAGATCTAAATTATTTTGATCCTGACCAAGAATTTTGCAAAGAAGAAGAAGAGCATAAATAACGAAAAGATTACTAACTGAGGTCTGTGAAATAATGGTTAATGTTAACCAACTCTCAAACACTGTTAGAAAACTTAGCCTAAAAATTACTCTGATATAGAAGAGGCCTGGCAGCAGCCTAACCAATAATACAACCTCAATAGGGGTGCAGAAGGGGCAGAAGCTCCTGTGAATGGTGGGGCAAGGGGATAGAAGGGGGATACTGAGACTCGGAGGCAGACGGCTCCAGGCTAGAAAGGAGAACTCAGAGTTCCTATCTGCTCCTGGGATCATTACAGCCCTTCCAGGCTCCACTCCCTGTTCTCCAGCCTGACCTCAGGCACCACCACAGCTGCGCCAGCCCCTCTGGATCCTGTTCCCACCTCCACTCAGGGGCTTTCATGAATTTATGTAGGCATGGAGTCCCCACAATAGTTCCACTGTGAGGGCACTAGCCCCTCTTGCCCTCTGGTTGCACCACCTGAGAAAACCATATTTGAACTTTGCAGAAAGCGTTACTGTAAGTTAATCAAAAAACTATGAATTATTACAGGGAACCTGTGAAGAAGGCAGAACATTCTTTAGCCTTCACAAAAGTTTAATTTTATTTTATAGAAACCTAACCAGTGCTGGTGCATATTATATAAATAAGAATTGAAAAGTAAGTATGGAAGCAGGGGAAAGGGCTGGAAAGAGACCCTGCTGTGGAGCAGAGAACTAGACACTCGTGAAAAATCTTTGTGGGAACAAGATAAAACAAGAACAGATCAAAGAAAGGTACAAGGATGGATTGCAAAACAAGCGTAAGAAGCACGCAGACCTCTCAAATGCAGTTTTATTCACAAGTGAGCCTGCGCACAGAACTATTTGTGAACCATGCTTACTCAGCACAGCTCTCTGTCCTTCTCTAGTGTCTAGATCAAACAAAATTTAATGTATCTGCTCAGCCTTTGAGCTAACAAGTGAGGGTTTTTCAGCTGAGGCAGCAAAGGCTCAGATTTTAGATCTATAGGTCCAGGTTTTAATCCCTCTGTCAATACTCCATGCAGGGATGTCAAAGAACATCTCCAAAATAAAAAAAAAGTTGTAGTGGACAGATAATGGCTGGGAGCAACTCACCCATGAGCTAGCAGGTGAAAAGTAAAGTTTGCCTAAATACGAAGTGTTCTTGACTGGACGAACTAAGCCACCCCTCCAGGGTATCTTGTGATTAACAATGACCAGGGAGAAGAGAGAAAAGTTATCTACTTATTGTTCTACTGAAATTTTGTGTTTGCATGAAATATTTATTTTTATAACTTTTACTGTTGAAGTAACATATGTCAGAAATTGGAAGATCCTGGAAACTGGTCCCCATTTAAGATAAGGCCCCTTTATTCTACTATGCAAAGTGTAAATTTATTTTATTTAAGGCTTCTTTTCTTGCCAGAGTGAGGTAAAGGGATTTTAGTTTAAATGACAGTGATGCCCCATGTGATTATCATTGCAGTAATTAAGGGTAATACAATAACAGTGATAATTTATAAAAACAAGTTTTACCTGTACATAAATCCTAAAGTAAAAAATGGTATATCTATCTACTCTTTTACATAAATGTTGTGTGACTAGAGCACCTGTGGAAAAGTTAACAGTTGATCTATGTGCATTGCTTGTTTGTAATCAATGATTGAAAAGTCTCTTACACAAAACAGCATGAACGTATATATTCCTCAAAAAGAACAGGAGTACTTGTGGCACCTTAGAGACTAACAAATTTTTTGAGCATAAACTTTCGTGGGCTATAGCCCACTTCATCGGATGCATATAATGTATGCTGTAGCCCACAAAAGCTTATGCTCAAATAAATTTGTTAGTCTCTAAGTTGCCACAAGTACTCCTGTTCTTTTTGCGGATACAGACTAACACGGCTGCTACTCTGAAACCGGTATATATTCCTAAACAGCATACGACTCTGGTGGAAACAATTGCTTGCAGAAATCTTATTTTGCATTACTATCTGTTCAAGTCTTATTAATATTTGAGCAAAAAGTTAAGTCTATTGTCCAAATGTTGAGTAGGAATATTGTTAACAATTATTAGATATGTGCTATATTTCCAAATAAGAAATCCTAGTGAGAAAGAAACATAGAATTGTTAAATTATTTCAATATCCGATTGTCTGTGTTATTGCATGGCCAAATGGAAATTATCTGGGCAAATCTGTGTTATATGAAGGGATGATATCCTTCATGCCACCTCCATCAATTAAAAATATCACCAAACTTGCCTGTTCTACTTTATGAATATTTATTATTTTAGCTTTGCTAATTAACTGGTGCCCAGCTTGGTTCTAATTGGGAATTTGATGGTAGTCCTTGCTCGTTTTAATAATTGTGTGCATATACGTGAGGGTAGAATTTGATCCTGAGTGCATTAGTTAGATTATATACCCAGATTAATCAGCATCAGGCCAAACTGCCATACCATGGTGAATATATGGCAGAATATAAAAATATGCCCATGTTACTTAACCTGAACTGAGAAAATTCTGACTCAGTTGATAAAGTTAAGCGTTTCAGTAACATACCTACACAGCATTTTTAGAAACAAAGTGGGATCTTGGTGTTCTGATATGCATGTCAAAATGTCTGAAGTGTGTTTTTTTTGTTTGTTTGTTTGTTTTTTATTGTTTTGTTTTTCCCCCTAGCTCACAGTTATTTCAGTAGAGTTGGAGTCCAAGTTCTGGGCAAATATTGAAAAGTTGAAACATGCCTATATGGATCTATATTATACAATTATGGGTGTTTATTATTTAGTTCTCTTCTTCACAATGTGTATTGCATTGCAAATTGGGAAACTGGTCAGGATGGGTCAGGTTCTGAGGGGAAGGAATTTTTCCCTAGGTCAGATTGGCAGTGACCTTGGAGCGCGGGGTGGATTGCCTTCCTCTGCAATGTGTGGGTGCAGGTCACTTGCCACACATCTGTGTATATCTCATTTAATCATTTCCCTAATTGGAGGGACCTCAAGCACTGGTGCATCTTGGTGCCTCCTATTCACTACCCATGGTACATAATAATCTAATCTCCTGTGTCCCTCATTTACTTTGGCCTCAGTTCCAAAGGATTTGAATGCAGGTGCTTGGTGGTGTCAATGGCCTGCAACATACAAGAGATCAGACTAAATGTCCTAGTCATAGAGTCAAAGGCCAGAAGGGATAACATTTTTAAGAATATACATTTTACTTCTACAGAATATTCATGAAGCATTTCCAAAATCCTGAGGCATTTTATCCTGACAGATCAAGTCCCCAAGAACCTCTCTTTACCATTTTAAAAAAGTTAATAGCTTCAAGTTACCTGATAATCAGCTGGTCCAGGAGTACAGAAAGCTCCCCTCTTAAAAACATATAGAGGTCGAGGAGTTGAAGATCCAAATGCTCCTTTCTTTGTACACTCCAAGTAAGCTTTTTTAAAATTCTCTCTTTCAATACTATAGTTGAGAATGTTATAGAAAGCTGGACCTGAAAAAGTCACAGTAGAGTTATGAGCCACCATCATAGTTTTGATTTTTTATCATAAATAGTCATTTAGAAATACATTATATTTTAATATTCATTTAAAATTGTTATGTTTTCATACTGTAATGAAATTGTCTCAACCAATGAAAACACAGGGATGCCATACATTTGCTGACCCACATCTGTGAAGTTATCTGCCAGTTATATCAATGTATGGACCCTGTGGTCTGAGGGATTTTGATTTGCAAAATGATTAGTTATAGTTCAGTAATATATACAGTAATCACTCTTAAAAGCTTTCCCATTTTGCCTTGGATAACTAAATAACTACCTCAATACTAGTAGTGTTACTTTAAAGTCCTGTTCAGTCACCCTTACACAGACTGAGTAGCATCTTACTGTGCAAGTAGCCCACTGTCCATGACAGCAGTTACCCAGGACAGACAGCACTGGTATTGCAGTATTGTTGATTTAGTGAAGAATGGGACAGCAGTTTAATAAGTGGGACTACTCAAAGAAAAATGGACTACTCAACATGAGTAAGGGTGGCAGAACAGAACATGGGGTGAAACTCATCCATGGGCAAAGGGCCTGGACAAGGCTTATACACCACTTAAGTCCTCAAAATAGAACATTGCAAAAGGGAGAGTTGTACCCTCAGTAAACACCTAGGGAATGTGACACATACAGGAATGCCATTAGATATTAGAAAACAAAAAATATGTTTAGTTACAGTTAAAGCTGCAGCAGAACACACCCCCTCCACCCAAAACCTTAAAAACATGGAAATAAGAAGTTAAGGGGAATTACATGTGCATTCCTTTCCATCTTCATACTGCCTACAATGCTATTGATAATGCACTCTAATGCTCC